GAAATATTAGTTGAAAATGTTACAAACAAGGTAAAAGTAAAAAGCCCACGTCTCCATGCAATCTCTCATGTCTGGTAGGTTTGGTGTTTTCCTTTTAGAGCTTTTCTCAATCACATATAACATGTATATGTTGATCTAGAGAAAATATTTTCAATGGTTTATTACCTTGAGGACAAAAACAAACAAAAACCAATGTTCTTAGAACAAGACCAAGTGTAACTGCAGCAGACATCAGTCATTCCCAAGACAAGATGACAATCTAGTCTCAGCCCTCCTCGTCTTTTTCCTTCATTTCTCTTCTTCTTACAATGACACTATCAGTGGTTATTGATCATTGAAACCATAATGGAAACCCGGAAACCAATTTTTTAAGAACAGAACCAAAGGACGATTGGTTAAAAGGGCACTTGCCAATTGCTAAAGCTTACTTTCTTTCTACAGAACAAGGCTGTGTCCAACAGTAGATCAAGAAATGGAACAAACTGTGAACAGTTAAGCACTTACTGAATGTCTAGTATAAGTAGTTGTAGTAAAAGGGGTGTCCATATTTTACCATCTGTAGAAATGAAAGATGTAAACATAACCCAATATTTCATAATGATCACTTTAATATGGTAGCATTTGGGATGTTTGTAAATATTACAGAAATTGATATAAGAGCCAAGATTCATGCTCAGAAACTTGTGAATCATGCATGTGGATTCCAGATTTGTTGCTTCTACAGTGAAGGCACAATGGAGAACAAATTTTTCAGAGATACTGCATAAAATGAGGTATACCGGTATTTTGTGTGGTGTACTCTGTGGGACACTGTGTGGAAATATAACATAAGACCTCTTAAGGAGTTTATTATTTAATCGGGGAAAGAACTTTTTTTCAAGTCTTTTTCTAGTGCTTTGATGTGTGTGTGTATGTATCACATACAAGCTTGATAGAGCATATGTGTGTCACATACAAGCTTGGCAGAGCTTGGCAGTATAAGTATTAACTTCCTACTTAAATAAAATCTTCAAGAATTTCAAAAAAATGCATATTTTATACATTTGGCATCAATTTTTCCTAGGAAATTTTACAGAATATTGTCAATAGTGGTTTCCCCACTTTTCTATTACTGGAAATACATCAAATTTCAGAGAAGCATTCTTACGCAGATACTTTGAGAAATTAACAGATCACCTCTAAAACACATATATGACCTGAGTGTATAGCAACATAGAAGGCTGAGATTTCCTATTGTTGTGTGCTGTTGAGTCGATTGTGATTCGTATCAACACATTAGGACAGAGTAAAACTGCCCCATAGGGTTTCCAGGCTGTAATCTTTACAGGAGCAGAATGCCAGGTCTTTTCTCCCATGGAGCCTCTGGTGGGTTCAAACCACTCACGTTTTGGTTACCAGCCATGCACTTAATCATTTCACCACCAGGTTTCCTAGGCTACCTCAAGCTGCAAACCAGGGCTTCGAATCAGTTCTTTCCAGTTCAACCCCTGCTGAGAATTTGCATTTCCACCCCAGATATACTGAATCAGAATTGACATTTTAACGAGATCCCCAGGTGATTCTTATGTATACACCTACATTTTAACAAAGATACCTAGGTGATTCTTATGTGTACATTCTTATGCTATATTGATTCAGTACATCTGGAGTGGAAGTGCAAATTCTAAGCAGGGGATCAAACCGGTTCATTCCCTGCTATAAACACAATCACAGAACCCACATGCAGAGACCTAAAAAGTTTTGCTGCTCTCCATGAATCCCCCTCACTCTCTACCATCAAGAAAAGTGATCCAACCGAATGCAGAAATTCTCGAACAATATCATTAATACCACACGCAAGTAAAAGTTTGCTGAAGGTCATTCAAAAGCGGCTGCAGCAGTATATCGACAGGGAACTGCCAGAAATTCAAGCCAGATTCAGAAGAGTACATGGAACCAAGGATATCATTGCTGATGTCAGATGGATCCTGGCTAAAAACAGAGAATACCAGAAAGATGTTTACCTGTTTTTTACTGACTATGCAAGGACATTCAACTGTGTGGATCATAGCAAATTATAGATAACATTGCAAAGAATAGGAATTCCAGAACACTTAATTGTGCTCATGAGGAACCTGTACATGGATCAAGAGGCAGTTGTTCAAACAGAACAAGGGGATACTGCATGGTTTAAAGTCAGGAAAGGTGTGTGTCTGGGTTGTATCCTTTCACCATACCTATTCAACCTATATGCTGAGCAAATAATCCGAGAAGCTGGACTCTATGAAGAAGAACGAGGTATCAAGATTGGAGGAAGACTCATTAACAACCTGTGTTATGCAATAACACAACCTTGCTTGCTGAAAGTGAAGGGGACTTGAAGCACTTACTGATGAAGATCAAAGACCACAGCCTTCAGTATGGATTACACCTCAACATAAAGAAAACAAAAATCCTCACAACTGGACCGATAAGCAACATCATGATAAACGGAGAAAAGATTGAAGTTGTCAAGGATTTCATTTTACTTGGATCCACAATCAACACCCACGGAAGCAGCAGTCAAGAAATCAAAAGATGCATTACATTGGGCAAATCTGCTGTAAAATATCTCTTTACAAAGTGTTGAAAAGCAAAGATGTCACCTTGAAGACTAAGGTGCTCCTGACCCAGGCCATGGTGTTTTCAGTCACCTCATATGCATGCAAAAGCTGGACAATGAATACGGAAGACCAAAGAAGAACTGATGCCTTTGAATTGTAGTGTTAGAGAAGAACATTGAATATACAATGGACTGCAAGAAGAACGAACAAATCCATCTTGGAAGAAGTACGACCAGAATGCTTCTTAGAAGCAAAGATAGTGAGACTATGTCTCACACACTTTGTACATGTTATCAGGAGGGACAGTCCCTGGAGGAGAACATCATGCTTGGTAAAGTAGAGGGTTAGCAAAAAAGAGGAAGACCTTCAATGAGATGAACTGACACAGTGGCTGCAACAATGGGCTCAAGCATAACGATTGTGAGGATGGCTCAGGACCGGGCAGTGTTTCGTTCTGTTGTACATAGGATTGCTATGAGTCAGAACCAACTTGACAGCACCTAACAACAACAACTCTACCATCACTACTACACTGAAGGCAATCACTTGGAATGGCTGCCTCCCTCCCTTGTAGGGCATGAGCCAAGCACTAGCTAGTTTGCTGGGTATTTGGGTAATGATTAGCTATAGTTTCTATTTCCCAGAATTCTTTGGGTTATACCACTTTTGTGAGCAGTTTATCCTTTAATCTCCATGGATATGCACCAAGAAACCTGTCACTATCCCTAGAAATGCTTAGAGGGGAACTCAGTTTATTTCACTATTAAATTATGGTTTTCTTAGATGTGTCCTTTTTCTGATTAAACAATCCTTTCCGATTCTTGTTTGGTTCTCTTTTCTCCAGTTAGTCCACTTTCTCAAGTAAATTTTTCACTTGTACCACTTTCAGTTGTATGTTGGTGTGTTCTTCAGGCCCCCTCTTCCTTAAACTCTTTTCTGTATTCTCTCCATCCTCACCCTTCCACCTCAGAATGTAAGAAAGAGTTAATGAGACATTGTCTAGTCTTCTCTTACCAAACTTTCCAGATTAAGAATAACTACTTATTGGAAGCCTTCCCCCCTAAGCTCCTTCTCTCTAACACAACCATGTCAGTGACCCTTTTCTGCATTCACATAAAAAGTTTATTTCCTCAGTGCCTATCAGAGTGCTTGGTTCAGAGTAGGCACTCAATAAAAATAGGGTTGTCTGACAGAATTGGATGCAAACTTCAACCATACTGCATATTTGGTGTTAAACTTTGGGCCAGCATACCAGGAAGCCCTGTACCTCACTTTGCTTACCTATAAAATGAGGGTAATAAAATTGAAGGTAAAGAAAAATGCCTGGCACTTAATAGTGCCGGGCACTTAGCAGGCACTAGAAAATGATAGTTTCCATTGCCTCTTATTGAATAAATAAGTGAATGATTGGACAAAGAACAAATGAAAGAGATGTTATCTGAACTTCTCTTTGCTCCCTAACAGACTCTCCTGAAGCTCCTAGACAGAGGTATCAGTTTGTTAACTCAGTCCATTGAGCCATCTTCACCACCCTGCTTCTTAGTATTTCCTCGTAACCTCTCCCATTATTTTCAGCCTACACCTAGAAGCTTGATCGTTCCACCTTAAGGAACTGGTCAGCTACAGTTTATTCGAATCTGGCAATTCTTATTCTTGTTCTGGGTTACTAAAGCCCATGAGTTTACCCTACCTCCACTAATCCTGTAGAATTTCCAAACCTCTGTTCCAAAGAGTTCCCCCCAGGCTCCTCCCATCCAATGCTCTGGTCTTCAAACCCTCAGAGTTCCTGGCCTGTTCTTCTCAAGAACTTGTCAAATAAGAATATAGAAAACTTGGGGATTGATTGAATGGGGTGAAAGGGCATGTCAAATATAAACCCAGTAGTTTGACGGTAAGTGGATGGAGGAATGATGGTAAAGATGGCAGAAAACCTAGTTTGCAGGGAAGGATGATGTAAATCTAGCAACTCTGCATTTGATTCTGATACATTTTATCTTCTTAGCTATCAATAGTGAGAAAAATAAATGGAAAATAAACTATGAATAGAACTAATCAAAAGTCAGAATGACTTCCATTTAAAGAGTAACATAATGATACATATCAAATATTAAAGCACATAATCATGTAAGTATCAGCAATTTTTACTAATTAAAATTATGTAAGAATGGAGTCAGAATGGATAATGATATCCTTCATTTTTTGAGATTTGAATTATTAAATAATTGTTCTCTTTCCTTTAGCTGACATGGGCTTACCCAGTATTTAAAAATCATATTGCTCTTTTTGTACTCCAAATATTTTCACTGATTTTAAAATCAAATTCTTCTGCAAAATATTTCTCCTGCAAAATTTATTATTTTCTTTGAAAAAAAAATTTAACTTTCTCTAGACATAATAAAGTATTATACTATATTACAGCCTCACCGTAAGAAATGAAGAAAGAGGAGATACTGCAGGAAGACCAGCACATACCACAAAAATGGAGAGTATCCAGGTCATAGAGGAATGGTAAGTGTGAGATCCACATTATGCTATTTATATGCTACTAATATGCTATTTGCATGCTATTTACATCAGCTGAGCGCTTAAGTATCATCTGTTGCTTCTTAATACCCCTAAAAATGAAATGAGTCTTGTGAAATGAATGCAGACTCAATCTGGCAGATCTTATTTTGTGATTGTAGTGACTCACATAAGCAGGCACATCCTGGTAACTTTGATTACTTGGTTTCTCCATTGTAAAATTTCTGATTTCCCGTTTATAATTTCTAAGCATCCTGTACAGAGATATGCTGAAACTATGCAAATGTCCTGCTCCTCATCATACTTTCAGCCTCTAGTTTCAGCATCCTGCTTGAAACAGTTATTACAAAGGCAGTGGCTAATAGTGATTTTTCTAATTCCATCATCCTTTCTGCATCTATTAACATTCTAGCCTAACAAAGAGTTTTCCTCTATCCCCCAGTTAGTTATTTAAAGAAAAATTTAATAGTATGGGCTCATGGATTCGTCTGTGATTCTTCTATGGATTATAATCCGTTATCATTACTTTTTCATTCTCAAATTGTCCCCAGTTTGGCCAATGGGAGCCATTTTCACATGCCTTGTCATTCCTTGAGCATGTCCTTGCTTTCTGGCACAAGAAGATATTCTAGAATCATCTTGTACTTTCCAAAGCGCAGCCCTGTAATCATTCATTTCTTCAAGAATAGTTGGTTCCTTTTAGTGGAGAATAGTATTTAGAAACCAAGATCTGTGGGCTAGTATACTCATTGCTACTGTGGGTTCATTGCTTCTAGGCCCTCTCAATGTGCAGAGATAGGAAATACAAACACAGACATCTATTTCTGTAGCCATCAACCCATCACTATTAAAAACCTGCGTTCATACTGATACCTCAATTGCAGTCCAAACCACGGGGTTCGTGGTTGTCTCACCTTTTCCATATTGGTAGGTCTCTCTTCGAACAGTGAGAAACCTGGCTGTCATAATCCACAATACATTTACTAATTGCTCAAGCCTAGAATACACATTAAGTAGTTTCAAAATGTTGAATCCATATCATTATTCTAAACAAACTTACTAACTAGAGTTAAATACCTGTTTACAGTTCTCGTTCTCTTCTTCCTTAGCTTGAGGAAAAATAGGTCAGAGGGGTAACATCCCCCTTCAATGTGTTCATGTTACTTATTTCAACTATAGTAGGTTTATTTATTTAGATATATTCAATTTGTGTTTTTTTCTCCATCCTTTTTGACTTTTATTTATTATAATTTTACTTGTGAGATACGCAGTGAAGCCTGTGAGAGCCAGAACCCTCTTTGTTTTTCTGGGTCTCACAAGTTTTCCACCTCTGACAGGGCGGAAAACTTTTCTATCACTTGTTTCGGTGGAAAATATTTGAGTGTTCCTTCTCTGACAGGTTTCTGCTTTACAGCTTTCGCAAGTCTTACTATGATATTTTTCCAAGTCAAAACAGCATAGAAAGGTATACTCAGAAATGATCCTTGACTTGCGTTTTAAGAATTTTTAATTTACTTTCATTGATTCATGTTGAGAAGTTAAATGCCAATATCATTAAAAAGACTGAAAGTCAACCTCAAGAAGATCAGTAAATATTCAGTGTCCTGTGGATTAGATGTTGTTTGATACCTATGTTTGTAGTGTCCTGATTTTAGTAGCCCTACCCATGTGAAATCATAGTTTTTAATGGCCGGAAAAACATCTTATTGACTAAAAATTATTTAGGAAACAGAGGGGTTATGTAACTTGCCAACAGCCACAGCTTGTTTTCAATTGAACACTACCCAGTGGACCTTATTTGGAGCTCTGGTGGCGCAGTGGCTAAGAGCTCGGCTGCTAACCAAAAGGTCGGCAGCTCGAATCCACCAGCCACTCCTTGGAAATCCTATGGGACAGTTCTACTCTGCCCTGTATGATCGCTGTGAGTCGGAATCGACTCAACGGCAACGGGTTTGGGTTTTTTGGTTTAGGTGGACCTTGTTTAGTTTACATTATCACGGAGAAACTTTACTTTAGCAGGGCCACCTAATTATTGCTTGAAAAGAAATAAATTAACACTTGATGCAAATGACGGATAAAAGGTTAGTATGCTACAGATCCCTCAAGTATTTGTAATTCTCGCAGGGGCAATCCCGTAACTTCAAAGTTGGCAATTATAATGGTGGCAGTGGCAGGTGAGAGGCAGGAGGATTCAGGCAGGGGCTTCTGATGGGAAGGAGGGCAGGGAGCTTTCTGGAATCACTTAAATCATTTTAAGTGGAAGCTCCAGTTAAGGCCAGATGTGTGCTCTGAGTCGGAATCGACTTGCCAGCGATGGGTTTGTGTGGTAAAATACTGACCACTAGAGGGCAGCAGTGCATAGCATTCTAGCACCTGGTCTTGCATTCAGCATTGCCTTTGATAATGGCCTCATTCTGTCTCTGCAGTCAAAACCCCACTGCAGATGAAGTCTTGTCCTGGTCTCAAAATTTTGACAAGTTGATGAAGACTCCAGCAGGAAGAAACCTTTTCAGAGAGTTCCTCCGAACAGAATACAGTGAAGAGAACCTACTTTTCTGGCTTGCCTGCGAAGACCTAAAGAAAGAGCAGAACAAAAAAGCGATTGAAGAAAAGGCCAGAATGATCTATGAAGATTACATTTCTATACTCTCACCAAAAGAGGTAAAAATCTGGAAAACATTCAGAGCTAGGATGACCAAAAACGGACTGGTGTCCAAACAGAGTAGTGCATGGGGGTGGATAGGTTCTAAGGCTTCTTGGGTAGACATTTCAGCATCCATTCTGAGAATCCGCCCCAATACTGGGGTAACAAGTGTTTGAAAGCTAAGTTTTCCCCACTCTGCTTGATCATTTATCGCTAGCTGAACTGTGTGGTAGCTCACTTGCTTTTCAGAACTAACAATCAGATGCCTGTTTAAGCACAGTTTGCTATGACTTGAAGTAAAGTGAAAAGGAATAATACACGTTAGGGCAGTATTTCTCCAAGTGGGATTCCCTAGATCATCTCTGTGAGAATCACCTGGAGCACTTGTTTAAAAAGCAAATTCCTCAGACCTTCCTAGGGCTTCTGAATTTTTGGAAACAGAGCCTAGGAATCTGCACTTTTAACAAGCTTTCCATATGCATAAACCAAATGAAACCCACAGCCATCGACTCAATTCCAACTCATAGCGACCCTACAGGACAGAGTAGAACTGCCCCATAGGGTTTCCAAGGCTGATCTTAACGCAGGCAGACTACCACATCTCTCTCCCGCAGAGTGGCTGGTGGGTTCAAACCACCGACCTTTTGGTTAGCAGCTGAGCTCTTCAACCACTGCACCACCAGGGTGCCTTCCATATGCATATAGTTTGAAAACGTCTGCTATAAGTGCTCAAAAAACAAAAAACCTGCATTTTTTTTTTTGCTACTTATGATTTGATTTTCCCAAAACTGAAGAATGTACCCTTAAGATCCATTAATATTCCTGAGGGAAGGATGGGGAATGGTAATTATTTTACTTATACTAGTTTTCCTGTTATTGAAAGTGCAAGCTTTGCCGAACATACCTACTCAATAACGAACATTTCCAGCCACCAAATAGCACTTTTCTGCTAACTTTTTTTTAGATTACTTTACTCCTGAGAAATATTGCAGGTACCAGAGTTGAAATCTTTTGGTGAGAGTGGTTAATAGCGTGACCGCGTCCCTGGAGTGCTGAGTGACAGAGCTCCTGATGGTCTTTAAAGCACTTGGAGAACTCAGAAGTTCCTAGAATGCCTTCACTCTCCCATGGCACTTTCTGCTGGTCTTCCCCGTGTGACCCGAACCACTGTGATTGTTACCTATACATTTAAATGTCCTGACCTGGTCCCCACTGCTTCCAGAGATCAGCCTCCACAGCCGTCTGTTGCAGACATGATGAAGTCCTCTCGAGCGAGGCTGTGGTAACTGGTGCCTTGTCCAGCACTTGATGTGGACCCATCCTTCCCTAGACTCCTTACCTTGAAATCTATAAAATGAGTGTCTACTTTATCCATTTCTAAGTTTGAAATGCTATATAAATGCTTCCACTTCTAATGAGGTATACATAAATAGGTCATCTGCAATCAGGAGGTGATGTAACTTCCATTTCTTGATACAGAGTATATTTCAGCATAGTAATTTGATCATTGTTTAGCAGAAAAAACAAATAAACCAAAAGTAGGCATTTGCAATTATAAAAGATAATGTTTAAAAAGCTATATTTAAGACAAGGTATAGATATATTTGGAGCCCTGGTGGCACAGCGATCAAGAGCTAGGCTGCTAACCAAAAGGTTGGCAGTTCGAATCCACCAGCCGCTCTTTGAAAACCCTATGGGGCAGTTCTACTCTGTTCTATAGGGTCACTGTGAGTCGGAATCGACTCAAAGGCACTGGTTTTGGTTTTGGTTTTGGGTATAGATATATTTACTCTAGAACTATGCTAATGGACTTGGCTCACAGACACAGTATGGCACGTGCTTTCCAGCTCCCCCCGAGTCCTTTCCGATATATTGTATCTCACTAACTTTTCTGTCACTTTCTAATCAGCTTTAATACATGATAGCTGTCTGATGATGCTGAGTTATCACTCTTCAAATTTTGTTTTCCGGCGTTGGCGAGAAAATATGGCACGTCAAAAAGGCCCTGGCTATACAGTAGAAAGAGCTGTTGTGGTTGTTGTTAGTTGCCATCAAATCAATCTGACTCATGGCGGCACCACATGTGGAGATTAGAACTGCTCCATGGGGTTTTCAAGGCTGTGACCTTTCGGAAGCAGATCACCAGGCCCCCTGGTGGGGCTCTGGGTGGATTTGAACTACCAACGTTTTGGCTACTAGTCCAAGGATGAACCATTTGTGCCACCCAGGGACTTCTTAGTAGTAAGAGCACTGGACTAATATTCAGATGCCCAGGGTTCTAGTCCTGGCTCTGCTAAAATCTAATTGTGTGGCCTTCACCTCTCTGGGCTTCAGTATTCAGTTCATTTGTTTACAAAAATAAAAATGGGCATAAAACCAAAAAAACCAAACCCACTGCCATCAAGTCAATTCCAACTCATAGTGACCCTATAGGCCAGAGTAGAACTGCCCCGTAGGGTTTCTAAGGAGCACCTGGTGGATTTGAACTGCTGACTTTTTGGTTAGCAGCCAAACTCTTAACCAGTATGCCACCAGGGTTTCTGTAAAAATGGGCATAGAGAAGATTGAACCACATCCAGAAGAACAGCTGTGAGGCGCATGTGCTCCCACTCAGTCCTCCTCCCCAAATGATGATGGCTAATCAGTCATGGCCCTCCTCAGTGCTGTACCCAGGTGTAACCTCGGAATCTCTTTAACCACAGTACTCACGGCAGTGACTACCAACCAATCAGACTTGGCATCTCTTTCCCATTTGGGGTGCTAGATAATCTGGCCTTTCTACCTCTGAAATTCTATAGCTGTTTCTACTTACTCAAAATATTTCAAAGCACATGCACATTTGAATTATTTATAAAATGGTAATAACTAAATAAAAATTGTCAGGGTTTTATTCTTGATCAGAACATCACTTTTTTTTTTTTTTTTTTTTACTAGACTTCCATTTTAGCTTAATTTGATTGATTGACCGTGTTCTTCTTTATTAAATGCAGGGAAAGTCTACATTTTCATTTATTATTTTATTGTTTTACTTTAAATGAAAGTTTATAATTCAAGTTAGTCTCTCATACAAAAATTTATACATACATTGTTATGTGACCCTAGTTGCTCTCCCTATTCTGTGACAGCACACTCCTCCTTTCCACCCCGGATTTCCCGTGTCCATTCAACCAGCTCCTGACCCTCTCTGCCTTCTCATCTCACCTCCGGACGGGAGCTGCCCATTTAGTCTCATGTATCTACTAGAGCTAAGAAGCACACTCTTCACAAATATCATTTTATGTCCCATAAAGTCTACATTTTTAAAAATTATTTATATATTCATAACTTTTCTCCTTAATGAAACCATTGAAGCCAATGTGCTGAAAATCACATTTTATTATGTAAAAGCATGTTTTATGCATTTTTAATAATTTCATCACAGTGTAATAAAATAAGAGATCTTTGCACTCAGGAGGTGATGTAATGTCCATTTCTTGGTACAGAGTACATTTCAAGGGAGGAAGGAGTCAAATTTTAAGTAAAAAACATGAGGAGGTAGCATTTCTTTCAAGAATAAATTTCCTTTTTATATGCTGTCTGCAAGGGGAAAACAAATGAAAGTAATAAAGAGAGATTTAAGACTAATAGATTCTGGTATCAGTTTATATTTATTAAGTATTAAAAAGACAAACCCAGCAGAATAAGGAAGTTTAATAAAAATTCTATTTAAAAGCTATTATCAATTATAAACAGCATTGAGCTATTGAAAGAAGAAATGACTGTAAATCTCAATTGAAGAAAACTATGTGTGTTCAGCTATCTACAAATCCCTTAAGTGATGGTCTTGTTACCAGGAGACTGTAACCTGGCCGTACCGTTACTATCTGTATGACAGGCACCAACTCACTTCTGTGCTCTGGAGTCTCAGCTTCCTCATTTTGTAGAATGATGGCAGGGAAAAAGCTCTAAAGCCCACTACATCTATTTTTCAGGTTCTGCCACATGTAGTTTCAATAGTAGTAGGAACTGTTTGCTTCTTCTGATTTCACCCTAAATTTCCAGTTGCCTTTTGGGGGAAAAAGTAATCAACATATTTAAACACACCAGAATTACCTAAAAATAATGCTGCTGTGATAGAGATGTGGATTCTGTGTGCGTGTGCATATATATGTGTCTTTAAGCAAAATTATGTGGATTTAGCATTTCCACTAACTTAAGTCACTTTTTCCAAACATAACTCATTTGCCTCTATTTTCCTAGATTCATTTTTTCATGCATACATGCACATTATCATTCAAAAAATATTTATTAAGTGTTTCCTACAAGCCAGGCATTGGACTAGATGCTGGGGATATGATGGTGAACAAGACACTGGCCTGTCCCTTACGGAGCTTAAATTTTAAAAGACAGACAAATTTGTTGAAAACAAGTAACTAGACACTGCGATAAACATCATGACGGGGCTGCAGGTAGAATGATGTAGTTTAGAATAGGAGTCGTCAGGTAAGGCTGCTCTGAGAAGGTGAAATTCAAGTTGATACAAAGACCAAAGACTTTAAGTTCGATCAAAAACGTGATTGTAACTATGCTCAATAATTACTACTATTACTTTACACTGGGCTTAAACTTTATTGTTTACAAAGCTCTCTTACACATATTATTACAATATGAGTCTCACAACAATTCTTTAGCAACTAGGACAGATGGCACCATTTTACAGCAGAGGAAACTGAGTCTCAAAGAGGTAAAATGACTTGTTCAAGGACAACAGAATTATATCTGATAGTGCTACAACATAAACCCTAGGTCTTCTGACTCAAAGTGTGGTGCTCTTCCATCTTCTCATCCTGATTTGTTATTCCATTGTTGAGTATTTTTGTAATGACACGATGTAGATTTCAATAACCCAACCTTAGGAATTCAGCCAGAGTAAGAAACAGCAACTACCCCACATGCCTGAGCCCTCATCCACACAGGAAGACAAGCTTTCCTGTCATTTGGAATCTACCAAGAATATGGTCACTACACTTTATCCTAC